ACCTTTTATGGAGATGAATTGTCCCAATTCATTCTCCATAAAAAGGTGGGACTGAAGTAGTATTCCAATTTCAAGTTCACTACAGTTTCAAAACAGTTCCTTCAAAAGCATGAATCTCTTTTGGCTATTGTGGTTTTTGCTCCTGGCACTCTTGTGTGCACTGCAAGTGGCATTCACTGACACAAAAACTTGTTTGGGAACATATGGAGGTGATGAAGCCACATTGCTCTGCTTTAAGAGCAGCCTCAAGAACCAAGGGGGAGATGCACTCTCTAGTTGGGTCAATGCTGGAAATCTCTCTTCTTGGAGAGGAATCAAGTGGAGCAGTGACAACAGTGTATTAAGCATCAATCTCTCAAATGCAAGCTTGAGCGGTCACCTATGGCCATTCTGGTGCAGATTGCAAGCACTTGAGTCCCTAGATCTGTCACACAACAATTTTACTGGTCATTTGAGTTTTGATGATGATGGCTTATGTAGGGCCTCCAAGATTCATACCATTGTATTCAGGGACAACTTTTTGGCTGGCAACATACCGTCTAGCATTTCTATCATGAAAAACCTCAAGTACCTTGATTTGGGAGCTAACAATTTCAGCGGACATATTCTCCCAGGTACTTTTGCGTGCTTTCTGCATCAAATCTTCCTTTTTTCTTATGAGTTTTTGTCATAGACATTGGACATCTTATGAAGCTTCAAACACTCATGCTAGATAACAACGAACTCAGTTCTAAAGTACCAAAAACTCTATCCAATTGCAGCCAGCTGGTAAACTTAATTCTGGACCGGAATTATCTTTCAGGAGGCATCCCCACTGAGCTGCAGCGATTGAGAAAACTGGTCCAAATACAAGCTGGGTACAACAACTTTTCACAGCTTCCAGAGTTCAAGGAACATGCCTTTCCCAGTCTAACGTACCTTGCATTGAACCAGAATCAAATTACAGGAACCATTCCGAAGTCCTTAGCTTATTTGACGAGTCTACAAGTCTTGAAGCTCGCCAGCAACAAATTCAGTGGCAGCATTCCTGATATGTTTCATAACTTGACTCAGCTTCAGTTTATGGGGGTAGCTGGAAACAACCTCACAGGAGCAATTCCTCCCTCCATTGGTTCCTGTGGAAAGCTCCAGGTGTTAGATTTGGCTGACAACAAGCTTTCTGGTGGTGTTCCTGATGCTATTTTCTCGCTGAAGCACCTACAGCTACTCGCCCTTGGCAACAACGATTTAAGAGGCACTTTATCTCCAGATATTTCGAATTGCAGCAGATTGCGAAGTCTTTTCCTAGAGGAAAACTTATTCAGCGGCAGGCTTCCGGAATCCATTGGAAATCTGAGCAACCTCAAAATATTGGTTCTGCCCAAAAATAGATTCGAAGGAAGTCTACCTTGGAGCATAGGCAGCTTGGTTCACCTTAAGTTACTGGACATAGGACAGAACTTATTCACAGGCTCATTACCGAGTAGTATGCAAAACATGGCTTGGCTTCAGTTTTTCTCAGGACAGGGGAACGGTTTCAGTGGTCATATCCCCCCTTGGATTGGAAACCTGACAAATCTTCGCCAATTTCTCTTGTTGCATAATAATTTTACAGGACGAATACCTCCAGAGATTGGGAATCTCAACAGCTTTAAAACCGACCCTGCAAGTCACCTATTGGAGAGAGATCCAGACATGGATGATTTGTTTGGATTTATATCTACTCCTGATGGGAGACAACTGACATTAGTGAGCGTCAACACTTATCCGTTGATGATAGATATCACTGGCAACAGTCAGCTCAGTGGTTCCATTCCGAGAGAACTTGGGGATCTCAAGTATTTGCAGTACCTATATCTGAGTGGGAGTAATCTGAGTGGAACTATTCCGGCTTCTCTTGCCAATGCAACACAACTCATTATACTCGAGCTTCAAATGAATCAACTTACGGGTAGCATTCCAGAGCAGCTTGGAAGTTTATCATTCCTCACGTACTTCAATGTGTCGAACAACAATCTCAGTGGGCCGATTCCAACAACAGGACAGTTTTCTACTTTGGACATCTCAAGTTTCGCTGGTAACCCAGGGTTATGTGGTCCTCCTCTCAACACCACATGCCACATTCCGTCTGCAGCCAAACCACCAGTAGCACTGACTGTCGACAAGCATTCAAGTGTATCATCTTATAATGGTCTAGCTGTTGGTGTTGGTGTGGCAGTTGGTTTCGCAGCTGGGTTTTGGGGAGTGGTGTTTCTGCTTCCTGAGCGATATATCATCCGCTTGCACAACTTCTTAGAAAATATTTATTATAGTACAAGCTTATATTGCAACTCTTATTATGTAGATCCAAAACTATCTTCCGCAACTATCCTTATCGGGACGATCGACATTCAATATTCGTCCAGCGTCTATAAATATTAAATTGCAGTGTAAGTTAGTGGTAACTTCTAGCCATTAATTAGTACAAGCATCTCTATGAATCTTCTCCTCCGTGTTAGTTCGCAGCTTTTAAATTCATCCAGTTTAGCCAGTTTATAGTTCACAATAGCTCTTGTGGATGCTCGAGCACCCATGAAGAAGATTCACCATGTAGATTTGACAACTGGTAGCATCTGGTGTTCCATGATGCCACACTCCATTCAGGCGTTTCATTCAGGCATCTTGTAGAACAGCTCCACTGCAAACTTGTACAAGAGTCCTCACAAATGTGGCACTTGTGGGTCGAGTACCATCTGATCCTGTACAGCTTCAAGGCTTATTCAAAATGCTCCTTCTGGGCAAATGCAGTTATCATTGCATCCCACGAAATTGTGTTCTTAAATAGCATCTTGTCGAACAAGATCTCGGCTTCGCGCACATAACCTTGTTTTTGGAGTAGCTTGTAAGCATTCTGTTCCAGATCAGATTCCGTGTTGTAAACTGGGCACACAATATCTCCATATTGGGCATATGCCAGCAGCAGGATTCGTTGAAGGCCTTACAAGCATCCTCGAGCCTCCCGCAGCAGCCATACATCCGCACCAGAAGATTGCCGATGAGCGCCTCTTCATCATAGCGAGTTCGCAGTGCAGATTTTTCCCTTCGGCCAGAGCCCTGTCGTTCTCATAACGGCGGGCTCTCCATTCCTTGCCAGTGCTGCTTTCATGCTTCATCTGTCAAAGCTTTTGAAGAAGACGGCACCTTCACCGTATTCGCATAGGCATACGAAGCTTACTGCAGCCGTGTCTCGATCTCCATGGCTCCTGAAGACCTATTTTATTTGCCGGTTTCTCCGGTGGTGCGGCATCTCAGGTACTACCAACACAACTGCAATCGGTAAAGTGGGTTTCTGATCTGAAGCTGCTAAGTAGTAGCCTAAATTGCTTTAGCTGTTCTTCAGAGCGTCCAGAAACGTACATTTGTCCTCAGCATCAGAATCAGCGGGAACTGCTTGAAGAAAGGAGGATGCTAGCTGAGATGGAACTCCGCTGCCTGCGGAGTTAAATCCAAGGGCGGAGATTCATATGTTGTCAGTCGCACATTCTGTTTGTGTTTGCGCTTCCGGGGCGCCTCCTCAGATCTGAATGGGCTGCCGACGTCAATGTTAGAGGAAGAAGGCTGCTGCTGAGCTCGAGACTCAGATTGATCAATTATTCCATAAGGTGGCGAAGAACTGCCTGGGAGCGATGTTGCAAGATTTCCAGCTGGAAACAAGGATGGAGCAGCTGAGGCCGAATAGTTATTCCGCTTCCATCAATCCAGCTTCGACGTTACTGTCTTTAAAGCACGCCAAAGCTATGGATGCAAAGCCAGCCTTTGCAGGTACAGGCCACTTCTGCTATGTATAGGCCATTGTTATCTCCTCTGCTCAAACATGAATGGAGCTCGTTAACGTTGTCCATCTTCAATCATCGCCTCCACTTTATCCAAAGCGTTCACTGAGCCAAGAGTACCCCACAAGCAAGGTACTCTTGTTTTCCTTTTTCTCATTTTTCGAGTCCAGCTCTCAGCCACAGATGCTAGTGCTTCTGTTTTTTAGCTCTTCAGCCTTCAACCTTTCCATCTGTAGACTCATGGACCCTCCAGTGGACGATCGACCTCCATTGTTCTGTTAATATGAAAGTGCTCGCCATTAATTACTACTAGCTAGAGATCGCACCAGATAATCGATCTCTATGAATCTCAGATTGAAGACGGGTAGCAGAATTATGCTATTCCAGTTACAGCATTCTCTTCAAGGACTGCAATTGCGGTCTAAATCCTCTGCTCCTCGTTAATTAATCTGGGATTTTTGAGTCGTGAAGAATCTGAGTAGCTGCCTGGGAGAATTCAGATAGAAATGGGCTAGGAATAAGTTACAACACAAACTGCATGCGAACAAATTATGCTTAACAGCGATGGAATTTGAGTAAGTGCTACAAGAAAGTCTTGAAACCAAAGAACCTCTTTTTGTGTAGCTGAGGCAGCCAAGTATTCTACTTCTGTGGAAGAGAGAGCAACATGATGTTGCTTCTTGCTACTCCATTGGACTGCTCCTCCAGCTAGTAGATAGCAAAATCCTGTGGTTGATTTGGAGGTGTCCCTATCATCATTGAGATTGCTGTCTGGAAATGCTTGAAGGTTGAAAGCATGCTCAGAAATTTTACCATACTGAATGCCAAAATCTAAAGTGCTCTTTACATACTTGAGTACTCCTTTGGCCATGTTCCAATGCTGGACATGTACTTCAGTACATTCAGTTGTGCAAGTCTTATTTCATTCTTGAATCCTAACTTTGTTCTTTAAAAAAAAAAAGAGAGATAGAGCTAATTGAGACTGCATTATATATCCTTGTAAAATGTAGGAAGTGACATAGGAAATGGCTATTGTGTTAGTCGTGATTGGTACTAGATTACTAGATAGATGATCCTATGCCCCAAATGAAAGTACTGAAAATGGCCTAATCAATCTGCTTAACCAAAAATACTCATGAGGGACAGCCATTATAGGGGCTACCAATACAAAAAGTCTCATGATTTCCTTCCACGTTCCCGCTGAATTTGATATGAATTGATGTGTGGTTCTTTCAGGATTTCTGGCTGCCTGAGATGATGGAGTATGCAAACACTGATGATTTTATGGCTCCTATCCCAGCTGTGCAGTACTTCCTATTGCTCCTAGCCACAAAGAAACCGGACCACTTGCAAGAGATCTTTGCATATGAGAAGAAGATCTGGACAAACTTCTTACGGTGCCGAAACAGGAGGCAGTTGGTGAGAATAAGAGATACCTCTAGGTTGAAACCAAGGAATGGTGGCACCTTGTTTGGTCTGTATTGATCAAGTGAATGATAACGAAGCTCTGCTATGATGTAGGATTGTAGATATGGAAAAAGAACTTCTAAATTTTTCCTCTACCAAACCAAGAATTACATGGAAATGCTCCAATGGTCCCAAGAGTACAATTGAGTCATACAAAGGCTCGTATGGAAAGGGTATTGATCTTGGAAAACCATAGATTGATCTAAATGATAGATTTGAGTTTCTGAGCCAAAGTGCAAAATCACTCATGACTGGACTCATCCCATTGTAGCCAAATACTTTGGAGGGAGCAAACATGGACCAAATTGATAATGGTTGTATCATGTTTGACATATTGGAGAACTTGAGTGGATGGAAGTTCCTATTTGTTACTACATGAGTTCTTGATGCAACCTCACATTGCCTTCCAGAACCACATAAGTTCTGGATGCTTACAAATCCTTTAGGTTGGACATCCCACCTTGACGCATCCGATTGGATCCAAGTGGCAGCTTTACTATGACCAGATGCAATATAATGGTCAAAACAAACACTAAAAGTGTCATACTGACATGCAATGTTGGGGAACTATGTTTATAAGCCAACTATCTCATTCCAAAAGACTATGAATGAGGTTTTTAAGTAGGCTTCTTTCCATAGATGATGTGATAGGGATGCTTTGCTAAATACAAAAAGCTAGAACCTATCACAGCATGATCAACGTAATAGGTTCAAACTATATTGCCGCTGTGGCTACAGGGATGTGAAGAAGGAATTGTTTGGCTCAATTCCTTATTCTGGTATATAATCTAGACAAATACTGGCCTGATTCAAGCTTGACATCATCAGACTACTCACCATCTTCCTGTCCCTACTTCACTGCTAATCCATAGGTGATCTTTCAAATAACTACTTTTTGCAAATCTGAGAATGGATGCAAGTGGCTGCTATTGAGGTGGCAAAAAAGCCAGCCAACCCAGATTTGGAGTTCATCCCTTATGGCCAGACTAAAATGAATATATGCAAATTCATCCTAGTCCAGCAGTATAAGTCTCTGATGTCTTCAAGACATGATGATAGTGAAAGTAATGGCACTTTCTCACTTGCACCATCTTTATAGTGCACACCAGCACAATCACAAGGCTTACCACTGAATAAAAAATGTGATTACCATGATGGACAAATGTCTATAGGGGTGGCATCACAAGAGATAAGCACACCACCATTAATCTCCAAAACATCTAAGGCTAATGCAAACTCAAATAAATAGAAGGTGTGCAAGAAAAAAACAATAAATAATTTCTATTCTTTTCTTCCATAATTGGTATTTAATGAAAATGTTCTCATGATTACTCACACAATGTACTCTACTCTACATCCATCATTTGGCTGGGAGGAAATAGCTGGTCAAAGAAGGAATGGAGAGCAAACAAAAATTCATACACCTTAAATATATCCATAAAAAATTAATATCTAAACGTTTATAAGGGAGTGTATGGAGTTGATTAATCTAGACTCTGATCTCCTTGAGCCCATCATATTTTGTTGGGGGTACAAATCCTAAATCAAACATGACTTCTATAAACCAAAGGAAGTTTTCTGTAATTGTGACACCCTCAAGCCTCAAATATGCAAATGCAAATGATGGCTATAGGTAAATTATTTTGATAAAACTAACTATATATGAATACTGGATCCAAATGTCCTTGGTTCACTATTGTGAATATGATTGTGAGTATCAAAAATTATCTATTAGCGAGTCCTTTTGGATATTATATCCTTACTGCCACAATAGCAAAAGGTCAATATTGTTAAACCCTTTATTAGTCTCTATCTAAGGTAATTGAGAAATTGGTCATCATATATGTACTTATGCCGGATAAACATAAGGTAGAAACTCCTATGTGTTTTTTGCTGAGTATACTTGACCCAATAGGAGAAACTCATATGTTAGCTTGCACTTATTAGTGTTGGAAATCCCGCAATATTAAGTTAGGTCCCTCAATATTTGCTATATAACAGTTTATTGTATCCACAAAAAAACCCTTGCTATCATGCCCCTTGTGTTGGTCCTATTTAGTTCCATTGGCTATTTATGAAAAGCTGACCAACCTAAGGCATAGTCTAACTCCCACTTGTGTGCCTGTTTTTGTTCTACATTTGGCTTGAATCTAAGCCCAAATTCCACACTATACTAGTTAGTAGAGTACCTATATTCTCGCATTAA